AGGATCAAAACTTTCTTGCTAGAAACAAACACCACTGCACAGCAGCTCCCCATCCCTGCAGTGTGTGCAGAGAGCTGCAGGATCATCCACCTTCCCTCCAAAGCTTTGGGACAATGTTTGCCCCCTATTTAAACCACATTCCCATGGAATAATCTGCTTTTTTCCTGCATTTTGCTTTTACCATTTCCTGCATTTTGCTTTTACCATTTACTGGATGCATTTTTCTGCTCACAAACCTCACACTCTAAATTTTTGTTTGTTTTTACCATTTACAAGATGCATTTTTCTGCTCACAAACCTCACACTTAGAATTTTTTTTTTTTTATTTTTACCATTTACAAGGTGCATTTTTCTGCTCACAAACCTTGCCCTTAGAAGTTTTTTTTTGCTTTTACCGTTCACAAGATGCATTTTTCTGCTCACTGACATAGCACTTTGAATTTTTTTTTGCTTTTACCATTTACTGGAGATATTTTTCTCCTCACAGACCTCATATTCCCGTCAGCAAGCTGGTGGTTTCTGAGTCTTACGATAACTACATAAGCAGAAGCTACCAAGTAACGAAGGAAATCATCAGTGAATGTAAAGGCAAAGGTGAGTGCTGTGGAGGGGGTGGAAAAACAAACCAGGCAGGCTGGGATGGGGATTCCAATATTCCTGACCAAATTTTCGATCTTTAGGGGATGGATTCCCACACTTGGATCGCTCATCCTCTCTCCCAAATGCATTGGAAATTCCTGTGTGCATCAGAATTATCAGTTTAGGTACACTCAAGCTATAAGAGAGGGCCAGAAAGTTAAATAGAATTATTTTAGAAATCCCTACCCAGTGGATGCTGCTTTCCAAGTGAATAAATGAGTTATTTGCTGTGTGTTCCCAGCATCAAATGAGGATTCTTCCTTCCCTTATCTGAGCTGCTCCTCCAAATTAAATCCCCCACAAACATCTTAGAACATTTCTCCAAACACAATATTGAAATTTTATTTCATTAATTTTTAAATATTTTTTCAAATTTCTGTTAATTTTATTTGCTGTTATTTTCCATCCACAGCACTCTCAGAATTCCTAAATTCTGTTTCACTGATTCCCTGCATTCTAAGCTCTGATTTTAATGGTTTGCACACAAACTTCAGTAGCACAGTGGGGCATTGGTTGTAAAGGAATTTGGAAATGTAAAGCTGCCACTGTGGAAAGCCAGCACTGAAATTAAAGGATTTCTTGTAAGAGAAATTAATTTTCGAGTAGACCAAAAAGCATCTGGTTCCCRACAAAGCTGAAATCTCGCTGGAATTTTTGTTTTCTCCAGAAAAACYTCTTAAACTAAGCAGGAGTGACTTCACTATTTCCCTGAAATTAGAAATTAGAAATTAGAGAACTGAAAAAATTCTAAACTGAAATTAGAAAAATGCTCTAAACCTGTTAACAAATCACATTTTCCCCCTTCATTCACAGCTTGATGYGCTGTTAGAGGATAAAACATTTGAAATTTGGTTGCTTGGGCACCAACCCTAAATCTGGCTTGAGCCAGATTCCTTTATTCAGGAAATAACATTCCTGAATAATAATATTCCTTTATTTCAGGAAATAACATCCTGATCGTGGCTCACGCCTCCTCCCTGGAGGCCTGCACCTGCCAGCTCCAAGGGCTGTCACCCCAAAACTCCAAGGATTTTGTACAGATGGTCCGAAAGGTAACRCAGCCACGGGAAAAAACAGAAAATYRTTTTTTGAATCCTTGGYGGAGAGATAAAAGGTTTAAAAWCTGYTGGAGAGGGATTTGTTTGGGGTGTGACTCTTTATGGGGTCAGGAGAGGGAAGGAGAAGGGGTTGAGAGGATTCTGCCAGAGCTGGGATGGAGAGTGTGGGGTCAGTGCCAGCCTGGGATGGGTTT